TACTTCCGGAATAGCTGTTCTGTGTGCCAAGGACTACGTTTGCCCGTTTTCTGAAGTGTTCAGGTGATCACACTGGGGTGAAACAAAGCATTTGCCCTGATGTGCATCTCCTCTTGGTACTTGCTTTTATGTTGTGCAACATCTACACTGAGCAGATCTTGAAGTCTGTAGCCCTCAGTAGATTTGTGAGGAGGAATGTCAAGGGCTTGGAAAAGCTTAACAACAGCAACTGCACCAATATTGAAATGAGAAACTTCTTCATACAGTCCTCATTTTAATGTCACTTCCAATGTTAATTTCTTTTGAAATTCTCTGCATCATCATCTCGTGCATAAATCCATTTTGATTCTGTTTCTTGCTATGATCGAAGGCAGTTATGCTGTAAGTCATCCTCTCTTAGTTAAACATTCAGGTTTAGCTTAGGAATAACCATGCCTGATATTCCAGAAAAGTTTTATCCATGTGGTCGTGAGGTTTACATTGTTTTCATCCTTGGCCTAGGGACCTCCACATGGCAACAACCATTGTGTGACAAGTAGCCCTTCTTTTGCTAATTGTTGCCAAGTTGCTGTAGAAAGATTTCTCAGTTTCGGGTGCAGGCTTATTCATAATTGAGTAGCCTAAAGTGGCCTAAAAATTAGACGTGAAGGCCCATTTCAAATGTGTCGAACCTAATACCAGTTTGGGTCGACCAAAATAATTGAGTTCGGCAGTTGATTTCAACGTCGAACCTAATTGGGTCGAACTTAATTGCAAAAGTGTACATGATACTTTTGTAGTCAGTGGCTTAAAAATGGCTGAAAAATTGTGGGAAAGGCAAATTGTGGAAATAAAGAGCTTGTTTTTCTTGCTTGTGCAATCAAGGAGGGTAGATGAAAGCGACTTCAGATGCAGTTGGTGTTAAGCAACCTCGTTGCCAGGAGAAAGTGATTTTTTAATTTGGCATGCCTTCTGTTACTGCTTATTTCCCAAAGGAACATCGCAGTTCCTCATCAAGTTCGTTCTTGCCATCAGCTGAAAAGAAATACTGGCTGGTGGGAGAATGTTTGCAATACCTATTCAGGTGCAAGGTTCAAGAAAACCTTCAGAGTTCCCGGGGAAAATTTAATTTCATCCTAAACCGTATTGCACCCTTACTTGTTTGTGTACGTATTCATGCATATATGATGTATATTCATCAAATTATCAATGAATGTAACAACTACATCAAGATTCACTGTACTAACAATTTTCACTTATGTTTAATTATCTCATTTATTGTATCTTAGGAACATAATTATGTGATTCCCAAATCATACGCCATTTTTTGGTATTACTTTTTAACATATGATCACTACGTATAAAATAGAATTAATTTACATTTTCACAATGTAAACATAAAATTATCAATGAACATAACTACATTAATGCTTTCTTTGAATTGACAACTTTTCTTTTATTCAACATCTCATTCTTTGTATTCTAGCTCTTAATTGATCAACATAGAAGGACATTCGGTATGTACTGTACTAAAATGTAGAGCCAAGTTTTTTTCCTCAGATACATTTTAGTTAGAAATCTAGGAAAAAGGAAAGCCTTTTAGAATTGTAACCGGGATTAAAAACTTTTAGGTTTTCAACTCAATGAATCAACTCCCCATTGATTCCCCATGCCCTTGGAAGAGCAAGCATCACAACTCCTGTTTGTGCTTCTACAAGGAAAGAAAGTAAATAGTGTCTGAAAGCTGAGCATTCCTATATCTTTCTTGAAGAGGTTGAATGGGTAATAAATTGCAATATACTCATTTGTAAGACAGCTTTAAGGATGTTCAATCACAATCATTAATCCAATCTTCCCCTTAAATTACCTCTTATCTCAGACTGAGCCTGAACAGTCTCATACTTTCACTTACTGAAGGACCAAACTGTCTTTTTGTGGCCCAAATAAAGCTCTTATCACTTATGCCACTGTTATATGTATCTTTTCAAACGAAACACTATTAATATTTTTGGTTTCTGTCCCTCTTAGATTGTTACTTTCTTTATTGAAATGTTATGTCAAGTAAGCATGATCACATAGCTCATAGTCATCCTCTTCTTCACCCTCTAAAACATTGTTGGCATGCTCTTTTATGAAGTTTTCCAACTTTGGAAGAGTCTCCAACTAGACATCTTTATATCAAATGGTTCTAGTTATTAATGTCGTCCCTATCATGAGCTAAGAAATTCAATGGAGAAAGTACATTGAGTATCAGTACACAATTACCTTGTAAGAAAAAAGAATACAAATTGTGTCAGTACCAACACACAAGCATTCTATCACAAATGTTCTTTCATTTAGAGTTCTCAGAATTTATTGTTCAATAAGGGATGAGAACACCTAAAACTAGATGACACGTGACTTTAAGGGTAGAGGTTTTGTTTTTACAACAAGTGATATCAAATAAATGTCTGAGGAAGCAGTCAACATTATGGAGGCAGCAGGAGGTGAATAGAGTGGATAGCTTTATGCTATGAGCTGGTGACACACCTATCTATCGTTATTCCATTATTTTACTCTGCAGTCTAAGTAAATGAACATCTGACAGATTTACAATATGGCAGTAAGATTATTCACTTTTGAATCACATCGCATGATAGTTGACTTGAGCTTTAGACTTCTTGGCACATAAAAGTACATGATCACTCATTGCCATACAGTTGACCAACTATTACCTGTGGCCAACACTTGAATCCAGGGTACTCCTCCACAATCTTTTTGATGGTATCTCTACCCTGAAGTGTATTTACCCACTTCTGCCCATAACTGAGTCTTTCAGAAGGCTGCTCACACTCTTAAGGTTCGGGTTTTTTTTTTCCACTTCAGCCACAAGTGTGATATTATGGCCCTCTTCGGTGGAGGCATCTTCAAGCTCGGGACTCTTTTTTTCTTGGCTTTTCCACTTGCTTAAGGTTATAGTTGGCCTTTTTAGCTGTATTAGGGTCGTACTCTGAATGATATATAAATGAAAATGATTGACTTGTATCACTTGCAGTGTATATATATATATATATATATATATATATAGCCACCCCAAGTGATCTCACATATGTGGTATCATCTAAGCCATGCCAGAGTATCATATACTAGAAAAATATATATATATATATATATATATATTTGTATGCCAAAGAGCTATATCTAACTAATATATATGCACCGCGCCAGGAGGATCAATAAAGATTCGCAGTCCAAACCTCACAGCAAACACGAACGTATAGAGTTAAAAAATGCGAGGATGGACAACTTCTGACATTAAAAAAGATAGAAAATTTAATAAAAACGTTTCGGTCAGAGACTTTCTTCAGTTATTCACAAATTGTGAATGAAAAAGAGCTTTAAATAAGATCGAGGTGCTAGTGATTACGTAATTACAGGCGACAACTACTGAATAGGATACAAAATCACGTGAAAGAGCAGAAAGTGGTTTTAATAAAAAGATGACAAAAAACAAAATCGACAAAGCGAAAAACATAAAAAAAAAACAAGCCACAAAGAAAACAATGGACAAAATACGAGAAATAAAACCTAATAAACTATAAACTAAAAAACTAAACTTGCTAAAACGAATAGCGCAACTGAAGAGGCAATGCGACAAGCATTAGAAAGATAGATAGACCAACTCTTACCTACAACTGTAAACCGTACCAAAATCCTAAAACAAGGCCTTTGGAGCCTGAAAGGGCTAATTAGCAACAAAATTCCTGGAGGGGCCCTGAAATAATATTAATCATAATAAGATCCCTTGGCAGGGCCTTTGAGTCCAATCAACACCTAGAAGGCTGACAAAATCCAAGAAAAGGACCTTTAAACGATTAATCAGTAACGAATAAAATAGGATGAAAAATTAATTATAGCTAATTCTGTTTCTCGAATGAAATTCCTTTCTTTTATTTAAACCATGGGGTGTCAAAGAGGACAGCTGAGCACTCCAAGAAGCCTCTTTTGTAGTTAAAAGCCTATCGATCTCCTCAGAGCCGCTTGGGGCCTGTACCTGATCAATACATTGGAAGGAAAAGTCACCTAGGGTATGTGGGATTCTGGTAAAATGTATTGCTACTTCATAAGTTGTTTTGTTTGTGAGCATAGCAGATTTGTGACTAGGAAAACCTAATTCTAAAGTTGGTAGTGGTAGATCCCACGTATTGCAAGCGACATTTCTTGCAAGAAACCAAATTAATCACATTTTTAGAATCACAAGAAGGTCTGGATTGAATGGTGTATTTTTTGCCCGTCTGAAAGCTAAGAAATGATTTAGATTCAACAAAGAAGTTCCGACAGAGGTCGCATCTATTCCTATCGTATTTGAAGCAGCCATTGTTGTGATGAATTGTTTGTTCCTTGTTGACAGTTTTAAAACGAGATGGTGCTAATAATTCTTTGAGATTTTTTGACCGACGAAAAGATGGCATGATAAGAACCTCGAGGAAAAAGTTCTTTTAATTTGGGGTTGGACTGTAGAATGAAAAAATGCTTACTGATTATGTTGCCTACGTCGGGGAAATTTGGATTAAATGTAATAACAAATGTAAATAATTTCTTTGTTTCTTTTCCATGAGTCCTAAGTAAATCATTTCTAAGAATGGTGGAGGCTTTGGAGAATTGATCCGAAACTAATTTAGAGGGATAGCCCTGGTTAACAAGGTACTCTTTGTACTCAGCTGTTCTCTCGGCCAGAAAAATTTCTTCAGAGCATTTTTTTTTCAATCTTGTGGCTACTCCAAAAGGAGTATCCTTGAAAACATGCTTAGGATGGCAGCTGGAAGGTGGAAGATATAAGTGACTATCTGTAGGTTTGGAATAGACGTCTATCTTAATAAATCCATCGGTAAGATATAAAGTAAGATCAAGTACATGAAGCTCATGCTCAAAAAAACTAACTCAAATTTAGTAATAGGGTACAGAGAATTAATGTAATTAGTAAACAGGGCAGGAAGGCCTTGCTGCCAAAGATCAAATACATTGATTCGATATCGCCACCATTAGGACGGCTTTATCGGACCAGAAAACTTAGCTTTGAGGTCAATTTCGCCCATGGCTAGATTGGCATAGCTACAAGCTGTGCCATGGATTTGAAGAAAGAAATTCTCTTTAAAAACAGAATGGTTGCTTTTCAAACAAATTTTTACAGCTTCTAAAATACAAGTCGTGGATGGAAATTTGTTTTCTCTAGCATTCAAAGCCTTCCTTACTGCAGTGAGGCCGAGTTTGTTATCAATGTTAGGAGACATTGAAACCAAGACCCACGAGACCAGTAAGGTGCCGGTTGGAAAGGGGCCGCTTGTGTTAAGATGTAATATTTTGTTAAGCAGATCAGTGGTGTCCTTAATAAACCATGGTAATTTTTGAGGAAGTGGATGTAAATAAAATTCAGTAAAGGCCGATAAGTTTTCAATTGCCGTGCCACAACAAGATGTAATAAGTCGGAGCGGGTTGCCCATTTTGTGCGTTTTGATGCTTCCAAACGCAACTCCTGGTCTTGCTTCTTTATTTAAACCCCACTTGACTACTTTGGGAGAAATCTCACCCTTTCCTAGCCATTTGGAACACCAACTCTCCACCAATGCCAAATGCTTAGGGGTTGGATCCAATTGCAAAGGTTTATATGGTAACTGGTTGTTGAGCTGACCAAACATTTTTTCCTCGTACTCCTTTTCATCAATTAATACAAATCGGGAGCCTTTGTCCTGTATACGAATCACTACATTAGAATTTTTAAGTTCTTTAAGCGCAGCCTGTTCTTTTTGAGAAAGGTTATCACTAGCTTGCCTAATGTTCTCAGGATTAATAAGATCACGCCGTACATTAGCTAAAAATAGTCCAAGTTCAGGGTACCTTGACGTTGGAGGTTTCCATTTCCTATCCTTTGGAACCTGAGGTAGGTGGCAAGGAACTGTTAAGTTGTCATCAGGATTACTGTCAACGAAGAAAGCTGCGGTTCGTAGTCGAGCTTTAAATATTTCCAAGTCATCATGCACGCTCTGCCAATTGATGTCCTTAGGCGTTGAACAAAACGATGGTCCTTTCCTCAGCAATTTGACCAGATCTGCATGTATGGACGTAATGATGGGCGCTTCACATTATTGTCAAAATAAAATTATGCTAAAAGCTACTAAAAACATAAGAAACTATTTGAAGGATATTGGAATGGTTTCCTTACGACTTTGAAAGTTCCATTGATGTACCAAGATTTAGCTTTGGCAAGGTTCTCTAACTGATGGTTAGTTGCTAAAATAAAATGGCAGCGGTCTTTCATGGAAATGCCCCCATGTAGGAATCCCTCAGGTATGGCTTCATGGATTAGCACAAAGGTCAGGTCTCGAGGGTCTTTTGGTCGCATGCTCTGCCTTATCCGATTAGCGGTTCTAGCCAAGCAAGCTGGTGCTGGGAGTGCTGGACGTGGAGTGTCGGGCATGCAGTCAAGTAGCACCTGTAAATAAGAAATAAGATATTGTTAAAAATTATTGGATAGAAAAGGCTATACAAATATGACATGCACGCAATCTTTAGTATCTGCCATTACCTCTTCAATAATGGCAGATGCTGGTTTAAATTTTTCTGCTGTAGCCTTAGTCTTCACCTATTTTACGATTTGGCTTCCAAGAAGAGCTCAGGTTGGGCAGTATGGTTGTGGGCATTCCCTCCTGGAGTAAATCGTCCATTTCTCATTGTGATGGAGGCTTTGCAGTGATTTCCCTTTGGACAGACAGTACACTGCCAATATGTGGTGTAAGGCTGCTTGGACAACACGTTATATATGAAGCCTAGATCATCATCATTATCATAAACTATTAATTAATTAACCATCAATTTATTGAAGTCTTGAATATCCAGCTGATGGGGTTTAAAACCTCTCTACTAATAGGGGACACTTAATATAGTTAATAACTTACTAAATATTTTCTAATGAACTATTGAGAAAAAGCCTAACAATATAATTAAGAATATAATATAGGTAAAAACCATTTAACTATTGACTAATGGGATAAATTATTAAAAAGAGAAAAGATTAAGAATTACAAAGGATGCAATTGGAACAATTGTTGTCTTCTATCATTACACTCAAATTAAATTTACGGATACGATTTTTAAAACTAAATAAAGATGGGAGGGTTTTAGTTTCTCTTTGAAGCTTATTCCACAACTTTGGTCCCAGGTAGGTGAACAAATGTTTACCATATTTCTTGGTCCTTAATCTGGGGATGGCAAACTCTGCCACCCTTAAGTTGTAGAGTGAACAATGCATGTGAAATAGCTCGTGTATTTTAGAGGGGCATAGTTTGTGTTTCACCTTATACATAGGGATAGCAATGTCTTGCAGTCTTCTGTTCTGAAGCATTGTTAGATCACTCCTATCCAGTAATGCTTGGAAGCTTGATTGTTTATATAGGAAAACTGCGCGTAATGCTCTTTCTTGAATCCGTTCAAGCTTTCTTTAAGACTGTCAATTAATCTCGCTTTCTTGCGTTGACTTCCTTCTTCTACGATGTTGAACAATAATCCCTCAGCCTGGCAATCTGCAATTGATAAATCACCATTAACTTACTAGATTGGAGAGAGATTAAAGAATTATGCAATTTTTTTTGTTCATATGTTTGTGGTTGGATCAGTTGAATCATCTGCTTACCAAATATATAACATATACATTGATGGAACTTGGCATCAATAGAACATCAATAGAAGTTTCTCCAAGGCTAACATTCACTTGACCTAAGTTGGGTGACTGGTAAAAAATAGTCAAATGAAAGAATGAAAGTGTTTGTGAGAGAGATTAGACCCATGAATTGTTAACTACTTTGTGGGATCTCATCCTAAAAAAAAAGTCTGGAATGACAGTAAAAACGATTAAGAGTAAAAAATGAAAGTAAAAACGAGCTTCTTACTACTGGCAATGCTTTCCTCCTCTTCAGCAATCATCTCCTCCACTCTAACTTCATCTGGTGTGGCGTCTGAAAAAATAATAACGGAAAAGGTGTGGAATTTATTTAAGTCAACTGGAAAATTAGACGTGGCACAAATCCAAGGCTCCAAGGCTTCAAGGCTTCAAGGCTAACATTTACTTAAACTAAGTTGGATGACGAATAAAAAAATGGTCAAATGAGAGTATGAAAGTGTTTGTGAGAGATATAAAACCAGTGAATTGTGAAATACTTTGTGGGATTTCTTCCCAAATACAAAGTCTGGAATGAGAGTAACAATGAGTAAGAGTCATAAATAAATTTTCCTTGTTAAAATGTCAAACAGGCAGGACATACATGTAGAGATGAAAAATGTATTTTAAAACCAGAAATAATGCACTATTATGATTAAGCCATGGAGAGACACAAGGCATTTGACTTTATAATATTACATTCAGGGATTTGGTAATTTGAGCACCTTTAAATAATAGTTTGGGCCTTGTGATAACCTATTGTAAAAAAGCAAAATCCTTCACTAAAGTTAAATGCATTGCATTGGAACCACCTCTTGTGGCTTTACGTTCTACCTTTTGTTTATTACTATTTACCCAGTTTGTGCAAACCTTCTTTCAAAATAAACACAGTTAATCAGATTTCATGTCTGATACGCATTGTGCGATGATAGATATGAACCCAAATGAGGCCTTTTGCTGTGCTTTTGCCACTCTACTTCTACAAATTATCAACATGCAACAGCAGCAAGTGTTTGCCTTTTTCATCCTGTATCAGAGATGTTTTTATTCTTAACTAAATATTTATTAGTATTTATTAGTATTTATTAGTATATTTGAAAAATCAGTACATTGCTAGACTACATACATTACTTACAGGTTAATTACTAACATGAATACTAGATAACTTACAATTTTTTTGGCTGCATATATTACTGTGAAATACAAATTATTAGAATATTCTAATCAATAAAATAAAATAACAGTAGATTACAAAAAAAGATATAGAAAAAAGAATTCTTTTATTAACTATGTGGAGTAACAATAAGAGTAAAATTATTTAATTTTTTTCAGGTTTTTCGGACAAGGAATTTTGTGAAGCACACACAACAAAGACAATGTAAGATTTAGGCCATTTAAAAAAATCCATTCCCAAAAATTTTCCATTTTTTGTTAAACAAATTAATCTTATCCTGTATCAGAGATGGGTAAATGAATACATGCAAATCCTGAATGTCGCTTTTCTAAGAAGAAGGCGGCATTTATGTAGAATTCGTGTTGTGCCTTACAGGTGGACCATTCCCCGCCTAGCCAAATCATGGTTTGATGCTCATAATAACGACCTGACCCATACATTTACTAGAACCCTTTTTTCTTCCTGCGGCCATTTATCATATTGTTTCTTCTTCTTTTCAGCTTGGCTGGAGTGGGCCAGGCTATTGCTGTCACTAACCACACTTGCCGAACTATTGCTGTCACAAACCACACTTGTTGAACCAGCAGGTCGATTGGACAAAATTCTGCTGGGTCCTGCTTGATCTTAGATCTACAGGTCCAGCCAGTGTCGGTTGAAAATAAGGAAAATTTTGCGTTGGGAGTGATCCTGGCAGCCCCACTTATACTATGAACTGTAGTTTTATGAAAATTCCATGAATTTCATGTGAAAAACCCATGAAGATCATTTCATGGCCCATGAATACTGCAAAATGAAATTTCATGGGGTTATTTTTAGCCCTGAATTTTCCATGAATTAGGGGAATTTTTTTCATGACCCATGAATTTCTTCAAAGTCTATTTTTATGACCCATTGATTTGCCATGAAAGTCACCAGAATTAATTTCATGACTCATGAATTTCTTTATATGCCTACTTTCATGACCCATGAATTTCTTCAAAGTCTACTTTCATGACCCATTAGTTTCCCCAGAAAGTCATCAGAATGAATTTCATGCCCATGAATTGCAATCAAACAGCATTTCATGGGCTAACAATTTATTTGTTTTGGGAGAACAAAATTAATGGGCCATGAATATTCCCTGAAATCTGTTGCCCATGAATTTCATTGATGAATCCATAGGCCATTAAAAGTGGTATTAATGAGTTCATCACAGTCACTGATTTATCAACGAGCTGACTTTCATGATCCGTGGAACTGACTTGTTATAAATTTATCCACTGATGGAATTTTGGTGTACAGCGCGAAAACTGTCGAATGAAAATGTCCCTAAACATCTTAAGTGGCCTTTGTTAACGTAAAATGTACAGGAAATCACAAAACGATGACTAAAACAATGGATCTTCAATTTGCTCCTTTGTTGAGACAAATGGGGCTGGAGGCAATGACCCAGATGTTTGATCCTCACTTTGATTTTTTGGGGCCTTTTTGCCTTCGCCATGCCTGGACGACTTTGTTGAATTTTTTCTGCCTCACTGCTGGCTTTGATTGTTAGCCATGACTCTGGAAACCTGTTGAAGGCCTTCTTACATTCTTGCGGCTGAGGAATCTTCTAGGGCTTTTCCAGTAAGGCACCTGCAGAGTACAGATGCTTAAGTTGCACAGCAATAGTACGCATTGCATCTACACGAAATGTGGAACTAAACAATGAAAAATCAATCACTTTGTCACCTCAATTTGGAACTTTGAATAGTGTGCAAATGTAACCTGAAAAAAAATGCCCTTTTTACCTCATTCATAGAGTCGCCGGTTAACAGAGTCAGGCCATCTTCTCTGTCGGGATGAAACGTTACCTTCATGTATTCATTGAGATCGCCTTCTACAACATCGTTGTTGATTTCGTCATCGCTTTCACAGGAATCACTGTCGATGTCAGCTCTGACTTTCTCGGACTCTGATGTCCTGTCGATTGTTACTTGCTTCGAATTCCAAATACCGAACAGCTTTTTGTGCTGCTTTATTTTGTCAGATTACAGACGCAGCAACGAGACCTCTTCGGAGTCATTTCGTAACGTCGAACACGATAACCTGTGAGGTCACTATGTGACCGCTGACCTATGATGGCTGCGATGACCTAAGGTCACCACGTTAAAGTACACGTGATTTACGAAGAAGTGGCGGTTTTTTTCGTACCTCGAACGGAATGGTTCCATTCCAATTGCATTTCTCGTAGTGTTTGTGTAGCAGTCTCTTTTTTTCCAGATCAACGCAATGGACCGTCTGAAAAGTTTTTTTCAAAGAGGTTTCCTCAAGATGAAGTTATCGATATGCATTACAACGTGAAGGGGTAAGTTCAAGCTTGGTCATCTTATTACGCGTAAACATCGGAGCGCGCGCGCTAACTATTGATTTAACTTGAAAATTTTTATTCTGTGATCATCTGGCGAAACATTACAAGAGTTTGTATGGAAATACTTACGACCGTTCTTAGGAATAAAAAATACAGTCAAATTCTGAATACGAAATACCTCACCTCACTTCCACAGTGCATCGCTTAGTATCTGACGGCTTCGTGTTGAAAAGAACCTGTTTTGGCGAGTTATCCATTTCTAGTTTTACTAAGTACATAAGAAAGGCCCTTAGATAACTGATGATGTGCTCCCTTTATTTTGCAAACAGTGAAGAGTGTTGGTCTACAAAACTGATGAAAGGAAATGCAAACTTGCTTAAGCAGCCTATCTTGGTCCAAATGATGATGAAGATGCAAATAGTAATGATAACCGAAAGAAGGATGGCACATTCAGGTGGCCAAAACAGAGAGACATTGACATAGTCAGCCATAGATATATCTTCACACATGCAAGAGTGCAGAAAGTTGGTAATTGTTTTGTTGTTAGTTACCTTGAGAGTATTGATCACAAGTGTAAAACATATCAAGAAATTTACATGAATGCTGTTACATAAATAGACATTATAATAACTGTCCATAACATTTTACACATGATATTAGACGAAGGAAATGATATTTGAAGTTTAGACAAAAATACATCAAACCAGTGAGTATATTTTCAATAATTTCGTCCAAATATTTTTCACATCAAATTTATTTATAATATACCTTCAAAATAGTTTAAATAAACAGAAATATAGGAGCAGAATCTGTCTCCACAAGGAAAATCAGTGATATCAAAATAGAGCTAAAAATCAGTAACATCTTAATTTTAGAAAAAACCAGGAAAGATTTATTACTCGACGTTTCGGGGTCATCGTGACTCCATTATCAAGAGACTAGTTTAAAAAACATGCAAATAAGGAAAGGTACAAGAATAGCATAAATTAGAATGAACGGCTTAAACAAACACCTTGGCGCGGATGGAATCCGTTTGCACGTTCAGTGTTGGCTTACGCATGCGAATATACAACATTTCATTAACAAGGCAATCAAATTTGCCGTTACATTTCGCGATGACGTTGAATTGCTCGATCAAGCGTTCAGGCATTTCACTATTGTGCTGGAGGTGGTAGTGTTTGTAGATAGAAGATGATTTCCTGGTGTGCCCTTCTACGCGCTCGTGTAAGTGACCACGAGTGTAGCCCACATACCCTGCATCACACAGGTTACATTTAAATTCATAAACGATACATTGTTGGTTAACAATAGGGGGCTTAATTTCGTGTTGCTTAAGCTGTTGATCGAGCTTAGGGCTAACGAACACTGGTTGGACAGTCACGCTTAACTTCGAGCTTAGACTGTTCAGTTGTTGTTTAACATGATTAGCTGACGACTGGTCCTTGAAGGGTAACACTAATCTCACAATCTCCAATGGTACGTCTGGTGATGGACAGGGCTCTGCAGATGAAATCCTTCTCTCAACGAACCGCTTGATTGTAGTTTCAACCAGTGGCTTTGGGTATTTCAAGTTATGAAAAACCCCTCTAAGGCGGTCACATTCCTCGGAGAAGAAAGACCAGTTAGAAGATAATCGATAGGCGCGATCCACCATGGTGTTAACTAGGCTGCGCTTGTACTTAATGTCAACATGACTCTGGAAATGCAGAAGGAGACCCGTGTTGGTTCTTTTGATGTAGACCTTGCTCTCAATCTTTGGTGCACGGTTAAGCAGTTCAGTTCCTAGAAAGGGAAGGGATCCTTCCCGTTCGACTTCCATGGTAAACTGGAGGGAGGGATGGGTAGAGTTAAGGGTGTCTAGAAACTGGCCAGCGGACACCCTATCAGGCATTACGGTCAGGGTGTCATCGACGTACCTCCGGTAATAGCGCGGAAGTTGACCATGTTGTTCGAGGTTTTCCTCAATCGAGCACATGAAGACGTTAGCCAGCAACGGTCCAAGGGGAGAACCCATAGCGACTCCATCTGTCTGCTCATATAAAGCACCGTCAAACTGGAAAAGCTGGTTTTTCGTAGCTGCTCGGAGGAGGTCGATTAGGTCCGCTTTAGAGATGTTCAAGCTGTGCGTCTCGTTGAACCAATCCTGGGCAAAGGCTTTTTCAGCTAAGATCTGTATTGTTTCCTCCAATGGTACATTTGTAAACAATGAGGTGACGTCATAGGAAACTAAAATTTCGCCGTTCTTGATCTCGAAGCCTCGTACTTCATCAGCAAAGCGGAATGTGTCTGTCACTGTATATTGGTTGCACGACAGGGGTTTCAATTTGTCGTCAAGCCATTTCGCTAGCGAGTAATTGTAGGTGTTAGTAGCAGAGAGTATTGGCCGCACGGCCAACTGTTCTTTATGTGTCTTCGGCAAGCCATACAAGTGTGCGAGTCTGGACCCTTTCGGGCGGAGAGCGTCAGCAATGGATTTCGGTAGAATCTTTCGAGCGAGAGTTTCCAACTCCCTTTCTTTCTGAAGGAGAGGGTGGTAATACTTAGGAGGTCGTCCTCTGGTTCTCGGTCTCTCCGAGTCGACGAATCGGAATTTGCTGGTATCGTTTATTGACGCTTCGGATAGTAGGCAAAGATATTCTGATTTATCCATAACAACAACACCAGACCCTTTATCCGGTTTTGTGACAACGATGTCATCGCGTTTTTTCAGATCTTCAATAGCTTGCAAGAGGGCTTTAGGAGGTTTTGGGCTACTCTTATAAATATACTCTAGCGCAACAGATCGTAAGGTTGCGGCTGCTAGTTCGCGTAAATTCTCGTTTGGTAGATGCCGTTCAAGGTTCCAGCATGCTTTCTCGAAGCTTGCCTTGATCTCAACTGGAGACACTCTTTGTGGGATCGCAAATTTCAGGCCACGACAGAGAACCAATTTTTGGAAGAACGATAGTTCGTAAGAGGAAATATTCAGGATGTGTTCGTCGACGTCAGTTTCTCTGTAGAGAAGCCTTGAGATCTTTCGAGTGTGAGTGTTCGTAACTTCAAGTTGGAGTTTATTCCGAAGCATAGTGATGGTTCGTAAGATGCACATATAGCGGAATAGTGAACAGGTCTGACGGATTTCATCATAGATGCCATTGATTTCCTCTCGAAGTACCATACTCTCCTGTATTCTTACTCTGAGCTCCTCCGCGATCACGTTCTTTGTAAAGGAAGCAGATGATTTCTTCCACTTAGCACGCCTATCTTTGTCGATCTTGGCAAAAGTAGGTGTGAGTTCGAAGCTCTGGCATAGTCGTAGAAAGTTGATTGATCCCTCGCAGTTGATTTGCTTTTTGCTACAGCGTTCGAGTTTCCGAAACAGATGTAGCTGATTATCTCTTTTCAAACACTTGATCAGCAGGGATTTGCTAAAGCAAAGGCATAGAAAAAACCAGGAAAGATTTATTACTCGACGTTTCGGGGTCATCGTGACTCCATTATCAAGAGACGAGTTTAAAAAACATGCAAATAAGGAAAGGTACAAGAATAGCATAAATTAGAATGAACGGCTTAAACAAACACCTTGGCGCGGATGGAATCCGTTTGCACGTTCAGTGTTGGCTTACGCATGCGAATATACAACATTTCATTAACAAGGCAATCAAATTTGCCGTTACATTTCGCGATATTTCAGATATTTCACACCTACGGCAGGAATGGTGTCATTTGGAAGATTTGAAACCGTTGCCTTTCTTTTTGTATAAATTTCATGCAGATCAGGATCAATCAACATCATATCCCTTCCACTTTTAATATACTCACTGACTCTGTAATATAATTGAGAGAGAATTCTAAATTTTCACAAATCAAGTGATCTCAGGAAGAACAGAACTATGAACTTATGATTACCGCTTTATGAGCTACGCTTTCATCTCGAGTCCCTTTAGGAAATTGCCTCTACATTGCAACCAAAACTTAGGTTCTTCGTTCTTTCAGTGAAGAGGGGTTTCTTCCAGCCAAATTTCAATCACTATAGGCTATTTTTGTGTGTGACCTGTCATCCGTGGCCTACCAAGCCTTGTTTTTTGTGTATTTGAAATTGTGCTGTTCTGCATGGCAGCAATTTATGGATACAGTATGTTATTAGTAGTTGTTGTAAATTTAAGCTTTTAGAAATCTCCAGACTGCCTAGTCATGCTGACTTGGATACCATAGAACTTTCCGAGACATTTCATCAAGTCGGGCACTTTTTACACAATACTACTAAAACAGTTCTTATGTAAGCTTCTGGAATGTTCCAGAACACTTTTTGAATATATAAAGACTCACTTATGTAGTAGTAGGAGTACTGGTAGTTGTTTTTGTCAGAGCAGAGTGAAAGCTATACCATTTGAGAGAGTTACTATCATAATGGTAGATTGCTCATTTCAAGGAACTTTGGAGGCAGCAGTGAGATTGTGTCAGTGGTGAGCTAGGATATAGACCGTGGTGGGCTTAATGAAGTTTACTAACGATAAGTACTGTACTGCTTTGAGGAGTCACTCCTTGTTAAGAACATTACTCGCTGTTTAATAAAGTAGTTGAGTTTGTAAGATTGTAGTGTTTTTTGTCGGTTAGATTATACTGTAACAGGTGTATGAGAATAATAATCTTTATTTAACCTGATTAAACCAATCAGCTGAACCTGGAGGGAACAGCTGGTATAAACTGGTCATCAGCACTGTATTTATGAAATAAGTAAAGCAAATATATCTAAATCCAAAAAAAAAAAAAAGGAATAAACAGGAAAATCATATCCATACGGAAAACTATGTATTTATAAAATTTTCCGTGACAATGAAGACATTGTAGCTGACTACTACTTACAATACCAGGAGAGGCATGGACATCGGGGAATGAAAGTATCTCCCTGCGGGCTAATTGTTAACCCAAAATGCAGTTGGCTCGGGGCTTCCCCTGAAAGGACAGTTTACGATCCTTCGAGTAACCCCCCTTACGGAGGAGTGGAAATTGAATGTATAGAGTCTGGTAAGGGAATGACTCCCTTACAGACATACCAAGCGAGAGCCACAGTCTAGGAAAAAGAAATTCTGTTTAATCAAACATGGTGAGATCCTTCAACTTGACCGAAAACATCATTACCATCATCAACTTCAAGGCCAGTGTGGCATTTCAGGCCTGAGGTGGAATGACTTTATCCTAATGACTGATCTGACCCTTGGTGACCAAGGAATACATGTTGAAAGGATCTACTTTGATGAGACATGGCATGGAACTTCACTACCAAAACTAACTGGTTTCTATTTTAACCACATCATGCCAGCATTACAACAAAAATTTAATTATTGCAAATAATCATAAAATCTAAATGTAAAAGAAATATAAAATTTACTAAAAAAATTTAATTTGTTATCAGAATTTTTTTTAATCTAGTGTCAGACCCAACTTCATCCTCAAATCCCAGTCATTCTCATTGCATAGTAAAATGTGATGTCACCTATTAAGCTGATTGGAAAGATTCACATTAATTCCTGCAAAAACTTTACTCACTCATAAAGGGTGTTAATGCCTGGGAATAAGGCTGACACACTTGACAGTTTTTTTTAATTGTTTGCACTTGGCAATATCTTTCTACATGTACATATGAGACTGTAAATATTGTAGTAATACTTTCATAGAGCAATTAAATAACTATGGAATTCTGCAAATTGCACTTTTTACTGACATATTAGTGGTTTAGTATGTACCAGACCTGTGGATAGCTCCTCCCAATAAGTAGTAATTAGCCATTTTATTTCTTGAGACTGAAAAGGCAATCAGTCTGAGAAACACTACCCGCTTGTATAGTAGATGCCAATGTGAAAAACACACAAATAACGACAATGTGGTCACATGGTCATGTTAATAATAATAATAATAATAATGACAATCTTTAATGAGGAAACTTTTTCACTAAAAAGTGGTTCACAAAAAGGACCTCGAAAATTAAAAATTAAAAATTTACAATGAATAAAAATGCTAAAAGATGCTACTAAAAACTAATGTATCTTATGTGTAATACAAAACTTAAATCAATGAATTAAAAATCTGACGCTTCAAAATATTTACATTATCAGAGGCTCGTATAGTTTTGTCCAGCGAGTTAAAATCACTTACAGCATGATAGCCAGTTCTTTGTTTGCCCCAGTTTCTTTTTACGGATGGAATTTTGAGGTTTGCTTTATTTCTTGTGTTGTAACTATGCTGTTCTTGCTGAGTGACTAATGTTAGTTCGTGATGCGTGAGACCATTAAGACATTTATATACATGTACGCATCGGCGCTGGAAGCGCCTTTTTTCTAGTGTTAACCACTTCAGTGTAGTTAACGCATCAGACGCAGAGGAATACAGTGGTTGATCTAATATTATTTTAGCTGCCTTATTTTGAAGCACTTGCAAACTAGACATTAAAGTTACATTATGTTTGTCTCCCCAAACTAAATAAGCATACTCGAATAAGGGCATAACAAGGCTTTTATAAAAAAGGATGCGCGCCTTAAACGGTAACAAATGCTTAATGCGTCTAAGTAGGCCAAGCCTTTGATTAACTTTCCCTGCCATGTATTCGACATGATTTGTCCACGAAAAATCAGACGATATTAAGATTCCAAGATATTTAAAACAAGTAACATTGTTTATACAATGATCAAAGATTGAAACAGTTAGAGCTATTTTCCTCTGTAACTTCTTGTTACTGCCTATAAGCATGCATTTGGTTTTGTCCAGATTCAGTGTTAACTTATGTTCATTCAGCCATTTCGCCACAGCCAGGAGGTCTTGGTTGAGCTTTTCAGTCAGCTCCTGAGGGGAAGACCCATAACAGTAGATCACCGTGTCATCTGCATAAAGTGATGCTTGACAGGCATCTAGAATGCTTGGCAAATCGTTAATGTAGATGACAAATAGCAGAGGACCCAGAATACTTTCCTGAGGGACCCCATGGGTAACTGGCAATTCATCAGACAACTCATTCCCACAACATGTACGCTGTTTCCTGTCAGTAATGTAAGAGCGGAACCACTGAAGCGAGTTCTCACATAAACCAATTTTGGAGAGCTTGCGTAACAAAATCCGATGGTCCACAGTGTCGAAAGCCTTGGTTAAATCCAAAAACACGGCCCCACACAGTTTACCTTGTTCCATGTTCAATAAGACTTCATCAGCAAATGATGTTAAAGCAGATTCAGTAGAGAGCCCCTTCCTGAATCCAAACTGTTTTCTTGTGAGAAGGTTGTTAATAACCAAGTGCTGGTACAGCTGGGAATGCACGGCTTTCTCGAGAATTTTACTGAGTGTCGGTAAAATAGAGATAGGTCGATAGTTCGATGCATTTGACCGGTCGCCTGATTTAAACAAGGCTGTAATTTTTGAGCATTTCCATAATTTAGGAAATTTACCAGTAAGAATCGATCGATTCAACAGCTTAGTGATGGAGGGAGTGATTGTATTAGCAGAGCTCTTGAGTAGTCTAGCACTAATTTTGTCCAAACCAATTGCTTTATTTGTCTTCAAAGAGGTAAGCTGCTGAAGCACAAGCGATTCCTCTAGTTCAGTTAACTGGAACTGAGACAACGGTTGTTCTAAAACCAAGTTGCAATTCGACCAGGTAGTCGTTATTTTGTCAGCTAGGCGCTTGCCTATGGATGCAAAGAAGCTATTCAAAGCAACAGCAATGGATTTGGAAGTGGTGTGCTGAATGCCATCGGAAATGATGCACTGAACCTTTTCTGAGGATGAATTACGATTGCAAGCTTCGTTTACAGCTTTCCACATTTTGCCGTGATCTCCTCTGGCTTCCTCGATCATTTCGCAGTAATATTTCGACTTAGCAGATTTTACTAAGCGGTTTACTTTGTTCCTCAGTTTCCTGTAAGTGTTCCAGTGCTTTTCTGAGTTCGATTTACGTGCTTTACGATGATACCAGTCTCGATCTCTCATTGATTCGCTAATTTTGCTATTCATCCAAGGAATAGGTGTTCCCTTCACACGTCGTCGTTTGACAGGTGCATGATCGTCTGCAACTTCTGAAAACAGTTTGTTCCAAGTTAATATAGCGTCATCGATATTGTTTTCATTGTCAACGACGTGCCAAGGAACATTCCTAAGATCTTCGTTAAATGAATTCGCATCGAAATTCTTGTAAGAGCGATACTCAAACATTCTTGGATGTGCTTTTATGTTACTGATTTCCTTGTCATCTGACACTAATGGTGGCAGAAAGTTTGTCAACATGGCACAAGCAAAGAAAATTTGATCAATAATACCAGATGAGAACAATGTTATAGGAACATAGTCCAAGATATGATAATTTTTGATTTGCTCAATGGCTCACTCAACATGAATGCAAAACTTGGCAATGCGTCGAGTTTCCACAGGTTCATCTTCCTCAAATTGGCGTTTTCCCTTTAGGAAAGGGAGAATGTTCAACTTTACACCCATTGGTGCAATATCATCCTGTATTTCAAACCCACGATCTGCCATTAGCACGTCACCCTTAGCCCAGTCCTTGCCAAGTAGGCCAGATTTCACTGTCAGATCAGATCCCTGTCTGAAATTGACCCACCTTCTAAAGTGGAGACAAAGTTTATTGCACCATCACCACTGATTCCAATGAGGTACTTCAGGGTGTTGTGATTCTTGTAAATCGAAAATGTAAGCTGCTGAGCCTCAAGATGTTTTGGTTGTTCAATATAAATTTCGGTAGCATCAATAATGCAACTTAATGACCAACAAATCTCCTTCACCTTTTCAGGCAAG